CCCTAAACTAGTCAATCATGTGAATGAGCACATTAACAACTTGTGCCCTAAACTAGTTTTCTTGATTATGAATATAGCAGTGTGCTAATTTAAAGATGATTTTGATATTGAAACTATTTAAGCTTTGGAGGCCTAGAACTTGTGCCCTAAACTAATTTAGTTTTATTTTATTTTTATTTATTTTTTTATGTTGGTTAGGAGAATCAAACCTAAAACTTAGAAGGAGTAGACTCCTAAACCCCATGTCTCAATCTACTAGGCGAACCCTTAAAGTTCTAAACTAGTTTAGTTTTCAATCCCAAATTTTACAATTGCGGGCTTCGTCAATTTCATGATTCCATTCCACTCGTTCACTTAGTTGGGCTCTCAATAATTTTTTAAAGGCTGAATTGATGATAAATTTGAGGTTAAAAATCAAGCCCTAAACTAGTTTTTACTATATCCTTCTGTGGTTCAAATATAGTCCAAAACAAAATCTCTACATGATTTTGGATTTAAGTATTACAATTAATTTTCTCATCCAAATTAATGAAATGTGTATTACACACTATTTTTTAGAGTGAGTTTGGTTTTCTGAAAAAAAAAAATAAAGTGAAATTAATAAAACAAAAATATAATTTTACTCCCATTTTCTCTAAATCTAAAATCAAATTAATATGTTAATTAAAATATAATTAAAGATTGATCTAAAATATAAAATATAATTAAGGATTGATTTAAAATATAATTAAATAAAATTATAAAATAAATAATAATTAGGAATTGGTCTAAAATATAATAAAATGAAAATTACATTAACGTATTTGGAATTACAATAAATAATTAAGAATTTAGGATTCATCGTAATCTAAAATATAATTAAATTAAAATTAGAATAAAAAGTTAATAATTACAATAAATAATAAGTAATTATAATTAAATTAAATTAATGTTAGACATTATAAAATTTGTGTATAAGAGATGAGAGAGAAAGAAAATAACGAAAAATATATAAGGATTTGCGGGTATTGCAATCATTTAACATCTATAACAATTGAGTTTTGGCCCAACATCACATGGGGGGTTTTCGGTTATTTTTGAACTATAATGGAATAAAGTGCTCTGGCCCTAAACCAGAAGAGGTAAAATAAATTTTGCCCAAAAATTTAGAAATCATAAAATGCCTTTAATTAGCTATGTAATTCAACCCAAGCATTTGGCCTAGTGGTTGTGTGACACTTTTATGGTGTAAGGCTCGGGTTTAACTTATATGAAGAGGAGTTTAATACCTTTTATGGTGGTGGTGGTTCATTTCTCTCCATTATGAGATTGAGCTCCCGAGCCGAGGCAACTTTGGTGATGACGGACACGTGGCCTTTGGCACCGAGTCAGGGTTTCCTAAATTCCCCCATAAAAAATATTTAGGTGGCGACTCTGTATCTGGCAAAACAGTCCATGTTTGGCACTTCTTTTCAAAAATCTGTTTCTCAAAACGATTTGCCGGATTTGGACTCTTTGGTTCAAGATTAAGAACCGCGACACAAATTGATTCCGAACTGTAGCGGGGTCCCTCGCGGGCGTGCTACACCACTGTAGGGAAGTATGACAGAGGATTCGAGCTCTATATATGATCCTCTCATCATGGGATTAGTAATGAGGTAGAGGAGATGAAATTAGAAAATGAAACCTTGAGATTAGCTTGGAAATTAATATTTTTTCCTCTCTTATTGTCCAAAAAAATAATATATAAAAATAATAAATTAAAAAGTTATCTTATAAGTCACTTCTCAAAACAAACTATAGTACCAAAAAAATTTATATATTTATGAAATATAATTTGTAATATTAAAATATTATTTTAATATTTATAAAATATATTTCTAATATTATAATATATTAAAAATACCAAGAGTATTAATGGAATTTCATATAATTAATCTCATTATAAAATGACAAAACAAATATGAATTGTTACTAGTCCAATGGTCATCAAACAAACATAATTTTTCTTAGTTCCCTTAATAATAATCTCCACACTAAGAATCTTCTCGCTAACTATCTCACCCAACCTACATTTGTTCACTTATTTTATTTTTTAGTAATATGTAATGAAATAAGAGTAATTTAAACAATTTAATCATGAGTTAATTACATTTTACCCCTTTGTAATTTAGTTCAACAACACATTACCCCCTCTAGGTTTAAAAATCCACACATAACCTCCTTGGGTTTTGAGGTGTATTGCAAACTTCAACTCTATTAATTATTTTGACCAAAAAAAAAAAATCAATTTTACCCTTATTTTTTTCTTCAAATTTCTTATGAATGCCATTTTACTACCATAACTTTCTATCTTAAATTGGGCTACCCAACCACTCTCCCAATGGCACTACATATTTTCCACACAACCACTACAAGGCACCATCTTCTCCACACAGAGTTCGGATCCTCTCATTGAAGCTCTCTACAACGCTCCCTGCAGGGGATGGCTGAGATGGGGCCACGTCGCCCACTTAGAAAAGGGTGGATTAGATTTGCTGAAATAATAAAAAAAATAAATTCCAAGACTTGTTTTCTTTTCCCAAGACCCATCTAGCCTTTCCTCTTCTTCACCACTATCTTCTCTCTCTTCTCTTTTCTTCAACTTTCCTCAGTCTTTAATGGTTGCCCCACACTTACCCTCCTCTAATAAAGCACTCTCCACTACTTTTGTAAACAAAGAAACTAGTAAAACAAAAACAAAAAACAAATGTGTAGATCAAGTATCATCTACTTCAGAAATAAACAAACAAAACCCAATTATTTTGAAAGAAAAAAGGGCTTATAGAGAAAGAAAAAAGGGGTGGGGTTTGATTTATTAATTGGGTTTGTTCTCTTTTGTTCTACTATCTCTGTCTTCTTCTTTTAAAGTTCAATTTCTTTCTTTCTTTGCTCACTTTTAAACTCATCGTCTTCTTCCTCTGTTCCCCTCATTTAATTTTCTTCTCATTTTGTTCTTTTTTTTTAAAAAAAAGAAAATAAATTTCGACAATTAGATATCCTCTTTCCCATTAGAAATAGCTTTCTAGTGTCTTCGATTTCTCAATATTGTTTCTGATTTGCACAAGAGAGAAAGGGAGAGAGAGAGAGAGAGAGAGAGAGTACTTTGAAGATCAAGTTTTGCGAGTATTTTTGTTTCTTAGAAAGCAATCATGGTTTCATGTTCTAGAGATAGATTTGAAAATCACTTCCTATGGGTGTCTTTATTTCGATTTTAGGAGAGAGAGTATCAATCTTGAAACCAAAACACAAAACAGAGGATAGTTGTGAAGAAGAGGAAAGGTTGGATGAGTCTGGTAAAGGAAAACAAGTTTTGGAATATATTTTAAATTCAACAGATCTCAACCGTCAATCTCTAAGTGAGTGACGTGGCTCCATCTCAGCTGTCCCCCATAGAGAGCATTGTAAAGAGCTCAAGGAGAGGATCTGGACTCACACAGAGTCCTTTCCGCCCAAGGCATCCACTTCATGGCTACCCAAAACAACCATTACTACCTTTCCGCACATACTCTTCAATAGTGAAGATGGTAAATTTGCTTCACAAGGCAATGCAAATTTTTGAAGAAGTTTATTCACCTAAAATAATTTTTGAGAAAGATAAGAAGCACATTGCCATGTTACATATGTAAGACTAAACTAAATATTTAGGCCTCGTTTGGGAACATGCTATTTCAGTAATTTTTTGGCTAAAATATGAGGTAAAAAAAAACTAGTATGTTTGAAGTAACTTTTTGGCTTTTTACGAAAAGATGTGCAAAAAGTAGAGAGAAAATGAAATTTTTGACTTTTTGGTATAAGTTATAGGCTTTTTGGCTTTTTTAGTAACCTTTTGACTTTTTGGCTAAAATGTTAACTTGCCAAACGAGGCCTTAGTTGACCCACATGATATGGTAATATGAATTAGAGATTTGGCAAGATTATGATTCCATATTTTTGTTCCAATTAATTAGTAAATAAAGTGTTGGAAATGGTAGAAAAATTCTGGGTAAAACCAGAATTTTTTCTCAAGTTTGGTCTATTTTTTAGGTGGGCCCCGAGCGTCAATTTACTCGGGTCAAAGTGGTAACGCGTTCTATGCCACGTTGTGATTCACGTGGTATATTTGGTTACTCAAAACCATTACCGAGTGAATAGGAAATTGAAGCCAAAGTGTGCTCCATGGAAATGGAGTTTTGGTGGAAATTCTTTAAGGTTGTAAAATGGCTTGTATAAGAGATGAGAGAGAAAGAAAATAACGAAAAATATATAAGGATTTGCGGGTATTGCAATCATTTAACATCTATAACAATTGAGTTTTGGCCCAACATCACATGGGGGGTTTTCGGTTATTTTTGAACTATAATGGAATAAAGTGCTCTGGCCCTAAACCATAAGAGGGAAAATAAATTTTGCCCAAAAATTTAGAAATCATAAAATGCCTTTAATTAGCTATGTAATTCAACCCAAGCATTTGGCCTAGTGGTTGTGTGACACTTTTATGGTGTAAGGCTCGGGTTTAACTTATATGAAGAGGAGTTTAATACCTTTTATGGTGGTGGTGGTTTATTTCTCTCCATTATGAGATTGTATGTAGTCAATGGTTGTTGGGCTTTGGAATTGGGTTTGGTGGACTTAGTATATTGGTTGTGTTAAGTTTTGTTGAATTTCTAGCTATTGTAGGCTAGTAATCCATTTGATAATGTAAATATTTATTATAATTGTAATTACTCTTTCATTTATTGATAAAAAAAATATAAAAAAAAAGAAGCTATGTGATTCATGAAATTAATATAACCGGTAAAAAGTCTTCCCTCTAGGTAGAAGGCTTTACATCTTTAGAAACGTAAGTGAACATCTAACATTTATAGATGGTAACTTCCTAAAACATTGCTAAATTAACATGTATAGAAACCATATTCACAGTCATGTTTACAGAATCTGAAGATCAAAAATAAAAAACATTTACTTGTATGAATATGAATGAGGGTTGCTCAAAAAAAAAAATGGAGTGTGGCAAAATGTTGGCTATTGCAATGTTTGTTTCGTCGGTTGTGATTGTTGTTGGAGGAACTAAGGTAAAGAGTTTGCCTCCATGTAATTTTCCAGCAATCTACAATTTTGGCGACTCAAATTCAGACACTGGCGGTTTCGCAGCAGCATTTGGAGTTACGGGATTACCATATGGTAAAACTTTCTTTGGAAAGCCATCAGGAAGAGCTTCTGATGGGCGTCTCCTTATTGATTTTATAGGTAAAAAACTAAAGAGAACTCCACTGAGAAAATTGAATAATTTTGTCATTGCTAAAATGAATTGCTTAGGTTATAAATTGATGTTGTATTTATGTGATATGAAATGGCTCATTTTTAGTTTTATGATGCATGCAGCTGAGCAATTGGGACTACCATATTTGAGTGCATACTTGAATTCAATTGGAACAAATTACAGTCATGGTGCCAATTTTGCATTTGGAGGTGCATCTATTAGGCAAATGCATGATCAACTTAACCCCTTTTATCTCCGCCTCCTGACCACACAATATGCTCAATTCAAGGCTCGAGTCACTGGTCTTTACAACCGAGGTCATTCCAATCAATTATTTTTAATTTTTCCAAAACAAAAATGTTTGATCTAAATAAAATTCACCAAATTCACCTTCATTTTTACTCACAAGATAGTTTTGTTTTACGATCATTATCAGGCAAAAACACGAGCAGACTCCCGAGGCTTGAAGACTTCTCTAAAGCTATTTATACCTATGAGATTGGGCTGAATGATGTTATCAGGGCAATGTTTGTTCTCAATTCCCACGAACAAATACCAGATATTCTTAATCAATTTGCTCAAGCAATTCGTGTATGTAGTTGTACTCTTTTTTCAATAAATTAATTTGCAATTAATTTTTGAATAATAATAATATCTATTGTGTGATATATGTTTTGTGACAGGACTTGTATAAACTAGGGGCAAGGACATTTTGGATACTTAATATGGGCCCAATTGGTTGCTTGCCAATAAACCTAAATTATATCTTGAATCGAACAGAGGAATCTTTTGATCAGAATGGTTGCAACAATAGGTGGAATAGAATGGCCGTGGAGTATAATAAGCAGCTTAAGAACAAATTGATCAAACTGAGAAGGAAGCTCGCAGAGGCTGCAATAACATATGTGGATGTTTATACAGCAAAATATAGACTTATCTGCAACGCAAAGAACCTTGGTAATTATCATAATGATCATTGTTGTCAAATTTCTCAATTTTTAATCATACTAGGGTTGTTTTGGATATGACTTATAAGCTGACTTTTTTCTTATTACGAAAAGACGTACAAAAAAATAAATAGGTGATATAACTCAAATAAGCCAATAAATTGGTTTTTTAGTTCATCTTATACTCTATTTTGTCTGTGTTTGTGCACCCTCTTCATTCATTATATTTATCTCTTCTTATATGAGACGGGATTGCTAATGAGAAGGAGTGTTAACTTGATATACATTATTGAGTATATTGCCTAACAGAGGAAATATTATTTAACCTTCTAAACTATCATTCAAAAATCAATTCAACCCATATTTTTTTAATAATATCAATTTTACATTTAAACTATTTGATTTTGGATCAATTTTATCCTTACTGTTAGCTTCCGTTTATAATCAAACGGAAGTTGTTGATGTGGTACCAAAATTTTGTTTAAAATTTTGCTTTTGCTCCCTAAACTATCCCTAAAATATCAATTAGACCCCTAGACTTGAATAGTTTAAGTATAAAATTGATATTATTAAACAAAACAAAAGTTGAATTGATTTTTAAATAATAGTTTAAACGATATTTTCTCTTACCTGACAACTTAAAACTTTTAGAAAAGTTGGTAATCTCACAGTTGTTTTGTTTTGTTTTGTTTTTTCAACAGGATTTACCAACCCTCTGAAGTATTGCATTCAGTATATTAAAAAGAAAAATGGTATCAAAGTGGAAGATGATCAATGTAATGCTTCAGCATTTATCAGTTGGGATGGCACACACTATACAGATGCTGCAAATCATTTGATTGCTAAAAGCATACTAAATGGTTCATTGTCTGATCCTCCACTTCCCATAACCCATGCATGCCATAAACATGTAACTCTGTAATTATAGCAATATATGTGTAATTAAGCAAATACTTTTCAATTCGAAAAACTAATTTTCTATTGATTAGAACATCAAAGGGTCACCAAAAAAAAGTTTTAGATGTATGACTCTTTTTTATACTTTTTATAAGATGTTCTCTTTTTATATATTATAATATTATATGATTTGATCATGAACTAGTACAAATATGAATGGAGATGTTCTCTTTTTATATATTTTAGGAAAAATTACCCATTAATTGTTCTATAAAAAAATATTACAGAATCATGAAAAAAATTATAATTTTAATTATTAATGTATATAAAGTTTATCACTTATTTGTAATTTTTTTTTTTTTTTTAATTTTCAAGAAACTTACATTGATTTGAAGTACCCTCCATATTTTAATATATGATTTGAGCATGCACTAGTAAAATATGACCAGTAGATTCAACGATTATGAAGAATGACATAATCATAATAAATGAAAATGACCTCGCACTACACACTATAAATGGTGCTATACAACAATTAGGCCAAATGTTCCGGTTGACAGAGAATGAAACAAGAAAATTATTTAATTTAATTGAGTATATAACTATTAACAAAGCAAAATGATTAACAAGAATAATTCATTTAGCCATTTTGAAGCACAATATTTGGTTTGATTGGATGTGCTTGAGCTTTTCACCAACATTCAAATACAGAGCAAGAAGACAACATAAAAGAATCAATCTCTTGTTCAGAATCACGTATGTAGAGCACATCAATCAATCAATCAATCAATAATTTTCTTCTTACCAAATTGTTAAGATTTGTTAAGCATGAATTTCTGTTAATTAATTATGAGGCCAATCTGACAATCAACTTGTTACCATTTACATTCATTGTGTAAGAGTAATAACAATAAAACAACTTCATCAGGACATAATGCTGCTATTTTTAAAAATTCTCCTTTTGTTCATAAAGGATTTACCTTATATTTGACATGTTAGCCCATGTCCAACACAGCACCAAATCCATCACCAAATTTAAATTTGGTGAAAAAGTTCCTTTTTTGCTGCTCCAATGGTTTCATCAAACTTATTTCAAATTGAGAATATCAAAAATGTTTCACCAAACTGAGGATGCTTTGTATCTTCTTATCAAGTTACTGTTTATTACGGTTGTATTTTCACCACCAGATATCCCCTGGATGTCCCTCGAATGTCCTCTCGGATAACCACCTCAAGGCAAAACTTAGTGAAAATTCTACACTAACCAATCAACCTCCCGATCAACCCCCCAAAAATGACTCCTCAATTGGAGTCATAGCAGCAGTTACCCTTTTCCTTGAGTGGTATTGGAAGCTTCTTCATAGCAGCAGTTACAGGGGTTAGGGGCATTAGCTTGAACATCACTACCTTGGGCATTTTCATTGACAATGGGAGAAGGATAATCCATTATATAGAACCAAAATACAAATAAATAAATAATCAGAAAATCAAAGTGCTAAAATTCAAAAAAACAATGGTAATAGATGTACAAATTCAAAGAGCATGCATAATAATAATTATATTTCACCCCAAAAAAAGAGAAAACCATACGAAAATGATGAAGTCTTTTTTTTTTTCCTTTCCATTTTATTCAACAAACTAGTTTTTTTATTTCTTTGAAAAAAGAAAAAGTAACAGAATTTGAAAACCAAACCAACGACGATGGGGCATTGGAAACACAGAAGGGCAGCAGCTGTTATCGAATCCAAATGGTTTTAGGAATTAATAAGCTATGACCAAATCAACGACGGGGCATTGGAAACAAAGTAGGGCAGCAACTCATTAACAAAGTCCTCTCTGAAATAATAATATTATAAATATGGCATTTAGAAAATGGAGAGAATTGGAACAATTTGATTCTATTATACATAATTAGGATTCAAAATGAGCATGGAATTTTCATTTCCATAGGATTTCTATAGTATATGGCATATTTATTTGGGACAAAAGGTTTCGTGAAGTAGTTTTTTTTAGTGATCTTTATTTGCGGGAATGCCTGGGTTTCGTATTTGCGGGAATGCCAAGTTAATTTTCTTTTTGTTTTTTATGTGCTTTTTAGCCTGGGTTTAGTTTTATTTATTTATTTTGTTTTTTGTTTCTTTGGGATAATAAACAGTGAATGCATGCTTTATTTCCTTCTTTCCTCCAATCTTTTTTATCACACTCCAATTTTAGGCAAAAATTAATATTTGGTTGCGATGCTTATTTTTCATTGCCTATAAATATAATACAGTTTTTATCTGTAAGTATCAAGTATGTCATTGTATCAGACACTTTAGATGCAAGATAATTTTGGGTTTTCAGGCTCCTCCTCGATCTGATGTTGTTAAAAGCTTAAAATATGGAATATTAGTGAACCTTCTAGGTATGGGAGCTGCTATCCTTGGAATGCAAGCCACGGTAGGATTGTTGGTTGCAAAAGCTTTAACTTCTTTAGCCACTCCTTATTACCAGGGCATCTCACTTGGCTACCGCCCTATGAAAGCTCTTGATCGAAGAGAAGATTATCATTTTGGTCACTAATGTTGTTTCTTGTTCCGTTGTGAAAATTTTACATTGGGCGGTCGACCGCCCGATTGTCCGCCCAGTCGGCCGGTGATTAGATGAAAAGCCAAATCCTTCTGTTGGAGTAAGCGATATCAAAGAGAGTTTTTACTCAAATTTGGTGAAAAAAGTAATGCACCGTTAGAGATTCCCTAATTAGTTTGAGTAATATACTTTAAATATTTCTAACATGGTATTAAAATAGGTCTTTAGTGGGTTCTTCCAACCCCTCCCTCGCTTGCAAACTGTTAGTTTTTTGTAATTGGCAATCTCGTTTGACAAAATTTCTTTTAGTTGTAATTTTATTTGATCTTTTATTTCAGTGAGGCTATGAATATTTAGATACGAATCCAACCCAAATTGTGCCTATGCAGAGGAGTTTGTGATCTTAATCCTTTCATATTTGCCACTTCGCTAACTAAGTACGGGGATCGAGCGCTTGAACTTTTGGGAAGAAAGTTTTACCGCTCCAACAGCGAAAGTTGCGCTCTAGCGGTCATCCTATATGTTTCGCACCACCTTTAGTCACACCGCTCGAGCGGTCTGCGCGACCCTATTTTCTATAAAGTGCGTTGTTCGTTGTTTCTACGGTTTGTGCCGTCTAGATTTTCAGAAAGGAACAAGATACAAAGTTTTTTATATTGGAGGGTGCTTTATGAGTGTTGCCTTGATGATTTAAGAGTGATCAATGGATCCGCAAACTTCATATCAACATCATCAAGGGTTTTTTTTTTTTTTTTTCCCATATTCACAAAAGAGAGAGTTGTTCTTCGATGTATTCTGAGGAACTTGAGCCTGAATCTTTGGTGGATTCCGGTGTGGCTCATCATCGTGGATTGGACATCAGCGTTGTGGATTCAACTTTGGACAAGACAATTTTGAGGTGAAGACGGTGTTGGAAGAGGCATATTGGGGTCAGTTCAATTCGGGCGTGGATTCGCTAGGTAATTGAGAGTACACTTATGTAATTCTTTTTTTGTCTTCTTCATGGATTGTTTTGTGGCTTTGGCCCGGGGTTTTTTTTATCACAATTAGAGGCATTACAATTGTGATTTTTTCACGTTAAATTGTCGTGTCAATTTATGTTTTATTGTTTGATTGGGATTGTCATTCGTTATACAAAATTGAAACATAATCACAAATCAATATCTTGGGTTTTTATATTTTTCAAACCACCTTCCTTCTAAAACCCTAACATTTAAAAATGTTGATAAAATATTTGGGGTCCTTAACATTACTCTATCCCAACAATCACCCACCCTCGTGACCCCATCTTATAGCTGTCTGACATGTAAGAGATACAGGGTTTTAGAAGGAAGGTGGGTGACTGCTGGGATATAGTAATGTTAGGGATCCCAAATGTTTTATCAATATTTCTACCAAATGTCTCAAATGGGTGTGGGACTCACATAGTGTGAGTCTCACACCTATGTGAGACATGGTGTAGATCCCTAGCATTTTTCGCTGAAATAAGGTTAGAGGGTAGATGTAAATGAGTTAAGGGTGGCAACTGGAGGTGGGTTAGGGTTGAGAGTGTAAGAAATGGTTTGGAAAAAATTGATTTTTCTTAAACTTTGGTCCATTTTTTGAGTGGAACCCATGCGCCAAAGTTGGCGAGTCCATGTGGCATTACGTTTTTTTGCAGCGTAACGATTCATGTCGTGTATTTGATTACTCAAAACAATTATCGGACGAATGGGAAATCAATACCAAAATGAGCTCCATGAAAATGGTGTTTTGGTGAAATTTCCATAAATGATGGAGATAAGGTTTGTCCCACATTGCTTTAGTAGGCAAACTTGGTGTGGGTTTATAAGCCTTGGGTTTGCATCTTGGGGAGGACCCTAAGAGGTACCCAAGTTTTGTGGAAGGGTGAAGTTATAGACAAAGTGAGCTAGACCCATTGGACCCAAAATAAATACATGTCCGTCCATTCGTCCTGGCGAGGCTAGGCTTGGGCGTGGGTGCATGGTGTGAGGTTAGGTTGGGTTTGTTCGGCCCAATGCTTATCTTTTTTGGGCCAAAATTATTTGAATTTTATTTTTTCTAAAAGTATTGGTCCAATGCACCTATTCATCCAAACCAAACAGGTTCTTACCTGTTTAAATTCAACCCTAACAAGTTTTTTCTATTCAAATCTGTTTGAACAGGTTTTTACCTATTCAACTCTGTCTCGAACATGTTTTTTACCTATTAAAGTCTGTTATGAAAAGCCACCAGTTCTCTTATAAATAGACAAGTCCTCCATTTGGTTTTTGCATCCAATTTTCATTCTTCTTTTCTGTTTTTGCTTCCTGTATTTTGCTGCATTAATTTTTAGTAAGAAATAGTATAAACACAGAGTGTGTTCACTGGGCAATTAGTTAGTAGCGTTGCTAAATGTTTTCATTGATCATTTCATCCTAGGAGATTGACGACCAATATCTGTGAGCACCCTAGAGATAACGAATCTATCTTAAGGACATAATGTTGGACACTGGACTTGATCAAAATTTCTGAGAAGATAATACTGTAAATGTGTAGTGTACTGTTTTGTTTCATTATGTTTTCCTTTCCAAATTTTGTTTTGTTTCTGTAACAAAATAAGAATCTGTTTTCCTGTTTTTATTTTTTTTATATTCTGTTTTGATTTTTTGTAATCAAACAGACTCTCTCATTTCTTAATTCTTTCTTAGAATACAGTGAAGATTGTCTGTAACACCCTCAAAATAAAACCATAAATCATACAATCTTGACATGCTTAGACATAAGAGAGTAAAGCATAATTTCATTCATCGGAGTATTCATTACAAAAGTATTACATATTGACATCAAAAGTAAATGCCCCACGGGCTTACAACTTTCCAAGTCCACACTTGGTTACAAGAAGGAGAGTACTAACTCCACACAAAATAAGCCATTGGCTTGATATACATGTAATACAACAAGAACAACAAAAAGGATCTAACAGCCTCAAGCCTCCTAAGCTACGTCCTTGGAGGTGGCATAGCACCTGCACCTGCACCTGCACCTGAAAATGATGTCCCATATAGGGTGAGCCAACGTCCAGTAGAGATATGCTAAACATAATATGAGCAAAAGCTAAAACATTAGCATTTGATAAATATTTAACTCATATAAACCAACATACAATACAACCCAGTTCCATAATCCTTTACTTAACAAAATCTCAACTTATAAGCACGGCTCAGAACCTGGCCAAACAACTTAAATGAGACTACATCTCATGCCCACAATACTTCAAACTGCCATTTTACAGAAATTGCGTCTGTGGGATTCGGCACCCATGTATGATTATTTTCTTGTGGCTATTTTACGGAAATTTTATCCGCGGGACTCGGCACCCATTTATAGATATTTTCAAATTGCCATTTTATGGAAATTTCATCCGTGGGATTCGGCACCCATGTATAATTATTTTCAAATTGCCATTTTACGAAAATTTTATCCACGGGATTTGGCACCCATGTATTCAAATACTCATCATATACAATGACCAATCAATACACATATTCGTTGTATTATTCCAACCGTCATACTCAATGACATACTCAAATTGATTAGTTTTAATTCACCTAATCATCATGCAGTGTCTACAACAATCAAGACTATCCTCCACCGATAGCCCAAAGCAGTTATTTCTAAATAGATAATAAATACACCAATAGATAAATTATCAATAATTTCAAAGGTGAGTGATTAAAGAATCCAACTCCACCATTCTACCTCATAATGAGCCAATTTCACTATTCCCAACTCAATTTCATATTCCCATAACAAATGTCATTAATTACGCTAATGACCCAAATATACCCAAACATGGCATTTTCCCCCTTTTCTCAACATTGACCCAAAGGTCCAAATATTATCAACAACATCAATAACATCCTTTTTAGACCCAAAACACATATGTTTGAATCAAAAGAACAAATTCCCTCTTTCCAATATAACACATCTCAAACCCTAACTTCCCAAATCAAACCATTTATACAAAAAGCTCAACATTTAGGTTAAACCTCATAAAGATGAGTAGTTATCCCTATCTCAAATTCGGAGCTCAAATAAAGAAGGTGAAGAAATTCGAAATGCTCCAAACCTCAATATTTTCGGATTGATAGGTAGCCCTAGACAAGCTCCACACTTTTAACAAAGGCCCAAGGGTAGAAGATCACTCCTACTAGATCAAACCCTAGAGAGAAGTTGGAGTTTTAGAGTGAGGTGCTCTCCAATGGAAGTTTTGAAAAGTAAGAGAGAGAAAGAAAGTGTAAAAAGTGATTTAAAACCACCCAGCTGCCATCTGATATACGACTAGTCCGCTCGAGCGGAGACTAGGACGCTCGAGCGTCAAGCACAAAAACTGGACCCGCTTGAGCTCAAAAATACCCGCTCGAGCGTCAAGACACCACAGCAAAACACACCCACTCGAGCGCAAAGGGAAACCCGCTCGAGCGTAGATTACCCTCTCCCAGTATTTTTACAGACATTGAACACTCGTTCGAGCGCAAAAAGGTCCGCTTGAGCGCAACCTGCTCGAGCGTAAGGAAATCCGCTCGAGCGTGAAAAACACATCTGCAGTACTTTTGCAGACGGACAAACTACTGAAGGTGTGCAAACTACGCTCGAGCGGACCACCAAAAATCTGGGCAACAAGGAATGGGACTAAAGCTCAACCAACTTGTTCGAAACACGCCCAAGACATTTCTAAACTCCAATCCAAAGCATTAAAAGACAGAAATGAAATGCGGACAACCACAACTATCAACGGAACTGAGTCTGGAATACAGTAAATAAGGAAGGAAAAACCGGGATCGCTATATTGTCTAACAATCTTAAGACATATTCACTTATTCATTGTATTCACAATTCTGATTTTTGTTTCTAGTTTCTATAATGAGAAAATTGTATTTCTTCTAATTTGTTTTTTGATTTTTGTAATCATATTTGATGGCTACTGAAACTGGTATACCAAATCCGGTTGT